CCTTCCTTCCTTCCTTCCTTCCTTCCTTGATCTGTGCCCGTGGCAGTTTTGGGCAAGAAATCTGGGGAAAGAAAAGAAATGCTGGTTTGCTGTAGCCTGGAGCAGTTGCTCCTATTCCTGTCTCTCTCCGTTCCTGCCCCTGGTTAGGCACCGTTCTCTAACCGGGGTTCAAACGTATAGGCAAAAGTCAGTGTAAAATTGCTTTAAAGGCCAGAAAAGAGGTGGAAAGGGGGGGCCCAGACCAGCAGCTTTGCAAGGCTCTGAACCCTCTTCTGAATTTTTTCCCCCAGAAGAACCAGGGCGCATCTGAGCACCCGCCTAGTTTCTTCTCAGTTTCCTCTTCTTGATGACTGCGTCTCACGGAGGAAAGATCGCCAGAGCAGACAAACTTTTTCCATTGTGCTAAGCTACAGCGTGGCTTGGTTCTGGCTTAGCATGCTGCACGAGCGTGATTGTGAGCGGGGCCTGTTGTGGCTTATTCCACAATCCGTGGGCTAATTGCATAATTTAATGCAATTAGATGCAGGCAAATGAAATGAGGGTGCTCCGTTTCTGGTCGATACAACGGAGGCATGTAAAATTATACGGCGGCTCTCCCCGCCTCTTTACCTCTCCCAGAATCCATAATGGGCTGTTCTGTTGCACGATGCACGCACACAGAGGTTGAGGATTCAAGCATCCCCAGAGAATCATAGTTTTATTCCATTCAGCCATGCAGATGAAACTTGAAACCCCCGTTTCCTTTGAGTCTCTTAAGGATCCAGGAGAGCACAGGGAGGAGGCTGACAGAAAGAGGGCAGGGAAGAGTTAAGTTTTCAAAATTATTTTTCCCCCTAAACTGCCTTATCGGGATCATAAATACATTGCTGTCGCGTCACGCGAGTTCTCATGGCATTCCAAGACGTGAACCCTTTCCTGTGAAAAAGAGAAATAAAATGAAGGAAAGACTGGGAAAATATTTTTAAACATTTCTGCCTCTTGGTTTTGCTGGTTTTTTCCCCCAAAGAGATTGGTCCGGACAGCTGAGCAAACATACCTCCTTAAGGGAACTGCAGCTGTAACGAGACCAAAGTGGGACGGGATGAACGGAATGATTCAGAGGAGGTGAATCTCGGATTGTGGGAATCAGACGGGTCACCTGCGGCTGCCGGACGGCCGAGAATGCGGTGGCACCCGAACCCTGGCAGGTCTTCAGGCCTCAAGGCCACCCTGGATCTCTGCCTGCTGCTGGCCCAGGCCATTTGGTATCAAAATCACGCCATCCAGACGCCGGAGTCAAAAGATCACCAAGGCATGCAGGAAAAGGAGGAGACCCAAACCCACCCACTCGTGCCCCGGGTCTCCTCCAGCTTGAAAATACCACCGGGGTTTCAGAATACAGTACCCCAAATCGGGCAAAATTTGGAATTAGTCTCCTGCTAGCGCCCAGTGACTTCCTCGGAGGAAGGAGAGTCATATTTTCAGGTCAAAAGGCATCCCCTGGGAGCAATGCATCTTTTGAGAGATGGGGCAGAGGATGATGGGCTTTGTGATTAGAAGCATCAGCAAGGCACCGACTAGCTGGGAGAAGGTTGTATCGAATGGAAACATGACACTCTGCTGAGATAGAAACAGAAATAAATTGGAATTGTTCCACTCCTGTGTGAATTTCTGATGCCATCAATTTTACCCCTAGTTTCTCATTTGGGAGGGGTCAGTTCTCCAGCCAAGACCCTGGTCTACCATCTTCCCGCCTGGTTCTCCTTCTTCTTTTTCAGTTTAGCTACAGTTTTTTGACTGAGCTACGCCAGCCTGAATTTCAGCCAGCTGTGTAGGGAACTATGGGCACTGCAGTCCCAGAACATGGAGGGGACCAAGTTTTAGAAGGCAGTTCTGGATATGACCGCTGACTCAATAAAGCAGCAACCAACCAGGTTAGAACCCACTTGAAAGACGGTTTGCGGAAACCTCTTTTCAAGATGCTGCCCCGTCCGTCCTCAAACTGCTCAGGGTTTTGGGGAATCTTGACTTCTAAAAAGGCGGCTCTGCCCCCAGCCAGGCCCCCGCCTCGGCTGCCTTTGTCGGGCACCTGCAGGGCCGGGGAAAGACAGCGGAGACTCTTCAAAGCAGGAGCGCTTCTCTTCGAAAGGCCGTCTTTGCAATGCCTTCTAGTGTCCAGAGGGTGTTGGCAAAGCCCCAGGCTGGGTTGTCTCGCTACCCCACACACGTGTACCTCCCAGGCTAAAATGATGGTGCCTGTTGGCTTGCTGAGCCCCACGGTCGCCATCCTCTGCTGCCACTCTCTAATTTAGCTCCGGCAGAGAGACCCTCCCGCCTGCAGCCCCGTGGAACTGCTCGAGCACAGCCCTAACGTGCAATTTAACTAAATTCTTTGGCTAGGCTCTGCTTGTAATTTAGGCTGGTTTCTTCTCCTCCTCCTCTCTCTCTCTCTCTCTCTCTCTCGCTGGATGGACGGATGGATGGATTTTTCCCCTTTCTTCCAGCTGAGTCAGCAGGTCCACACCCAGAGATAGCCAACTGCTGACTGGCTGCGAAGATTGATGGAGATCGTTCTTCCTTGCGCAGAGGAAGACGTCTGCACGCCAGAACAGGCTGCACGCAACTCAAAGCCCCTGCCGTCAGTCTGAGGCGTGGCTGTCTTCAAGCAGGGGGTTGTTCTGAGCCGAGAACAGGTCTCGTCCACAAGCTGGGTTCACTGGGGATCTCCGTCGTCTCCTGGGCTCTCCGTTCCGCTCTGAGCGAGCCGGTCAAAGGGGGCCAGGTTTCTAAGTCATGACAACCCGACACTGATTAAGCAGGTTATCCAGCTCTGAAGGTGTCAGCCGGCATCACACCGCGGCTTTCAGGTGCCACCATTTCCAGCCTCAAGGACTAGAAACCGGGGCCTGGCAGCACCTTTTCTGACTCACACACTTTATTCAAAGGCATCAGCTGCAGCTCGCAAAAGTGGATGCCTTTTAATAGAAGTTGTCAGCCGGAAGAGGTGCGACCAGATTCCTGACGTGATGCCCCCATGGGCTAAGCTGGCTCTCCTCCGACAAGGACTAGAAACTTGTTTTGAAGCCCGGATTAGTGGGAAGCTAGACTCCACGTCAGTGTCACTGAAATGCGGTGGGAATGTCTCCCCCCACCCCAAGGGTTGTTTTGAGGATATTAGGTCTTGTGTTTTCCGGGGCACAATCCCTTTACCCTGATGCTCTCCCCACTCCGTGGATGAAGCCTGGAGAGAAAATGTTGGGTCTACGGGGCTAACCTTGACTTCCTTCGTCTGGGGGGATCTGCAGCCTCAGACTTTGGCTGGAAAAATCAAGGCTGTTTGGGTCTGCAGGTCAAGAAGCAAGGATGACAGGAGGGGAGTTTCCTGCCTCAGGAGAGTTTTAAAAAGAGAGCGAGAGGAATGACCCGAACGTCTTTTCCCAGTAACCGATGGCCTTCTTAATTTGGGGTACCATCTGATGCCAAAGACGGCAGCACTAAGAATACAGACTGCTGCCTTCTCCTAAGATCAGCCTACTGATCTAGAAAGTCTTGGATGATCCCCTTCTTAAACTAAGCTCATCGTTCACTGCGGCCTCGAAAGCCCGCTATAACTCCTCGGTGCTAGGAAGACTCCCGGACTTCTCCTCTTCTACCACCCCGGACAGACAGAAGGGCGGATTACTCAGCGCTCAAGGATCCCCCAGCAGCTCCCCTCTGCTGGGGGGCCCTTGTGTTGACTACCCCCTCAGTTCCAGATCTCTTCTCTCCCGCCCCGCTCGGCCTGCCATTGCTTGCACGTTGTAGCCACCGAGCCAAAGACCAGCCGTTCCTCTTTGCTTTTCAAGAGGGTCAATGAACGGGGAATTCATCAGGAGGGCAAACAGGCACGAGCGAAGGGATTGGCATCTTCCCTACTACCAACATGACGAGGGGCATCACAAACATTTGGTTGTGTTTGGATCGCACCATGAGTGTCGCCACCCTCTCGACTTTTTTCACCATGCCCTGCAGACCCCCCTGGATTCCATCATCCTGGCCCCAAAGGGGTGGTGCCCCCCTTGCAACCTGGTCTGCAGACCCTGCAGCACCGGGGTTTCTTGAAGTAGCGGGCACGGGCTGCGCTCCTACAGCAAATCCTGGTCCCAAGCTGAAGAAGCCGCAGGTGAGCGTGGTCCAAGGGCAAAGCCTTTGGGGCACGGACCCAGCTCTGACCACAGCTGGGAAGTCAGAGCAAACCACGCTCCCTTTGGAGCCCCTCGAGATGAAGCCGACCCTTTAAAAAGCTTGCACCACGCCCCGTCCGGGGCCTGACCCGAGGCGGATAAAGAAAAGAGTCCTTCTCAATAGTGTGCAGGAGCTTGGAAGGTTAAAAGTGCCAAGTGTGCAAAAAAGGAAAGAAGACACTCAGCTGTGCGGGTGGAGGCCAACCCACTCACAACCCCCCCCCGCCCCCTGCTCAAGGCGATGCTCCTGCGCCTCTATCTTTGGAAGTGGGGCTGCAGGACGGCGGTTCGGTTCCTTTGGCAGAGGCTGAAAGGAGAGGCGGTCCGGGAGAAACGGCCTCCTGGCCTCTCGGGCAGCAAGAATGCCTGTGATGTGTCTGAGGGTTGGCTCGGCAGGGTTTCATTGTGGCAACCCGTGGGCCCACCCGTGCCCCAAAACGCCCACCCTCGAGGGAGGAGTCCTCTTCCCCAAACCACTCCATGCCCAGCTCAATTCGGTCTCAGCGCAGCTGTGCATCTTTCCATGTGGCAAAAATGCAGGAGGTGGAACGAGACGGCCCTTTTCACCCAGAATGCAAAGCCAGGATCCTCTTTCCCCGTGGTTTCCTGAACAAGCCACGATGGCCTGGCTCGCCTGTGGTAGGAATCCATGATTGGAGAAGACGCCCCGAACTGGGCACTCCCCAGCCCAGCTCCCCACAGGGCTCACGTTACAGGGGACAAAGGCAAGCTCCCAGGCACTCCTGGGGCAGGATTGGGGCCGACATTGCCCGCCCCGCATGTGCAGGCCAGGCCTGCCAGCTTTCAAGTTCCCACCCCAGTTTACGTGCAAATTAAACCCAGTTGGCTCCAGCAACAACCGCTGGGTGGAAAAGCGGCCATAGCTGACGTCTGGCGTTCCTCGGCTTTGATTTTTCATTGGGAAAAGTCAGCGTGACGGTGGATCCCTCGGCGGAAAGAGATCTAGCCTGGCCTCCTCCGGCAGCAGAGCGCCAGCAGGAGTCGATTCATCCCGTTGCTCTACGTTTACATTCCCCACTGGGACGTCGAGAGCGTGTTAACCTCAGACGGAAAAATTCAAAACACAGGAAGAACAGAGAAACCCCAGATGAGTCCCAGGGCCACAGCCCCAGTGCAGCGGGTTGGGTCCTGGGAAACACTGCCCTTCAGACGGTCTGGCACGTGGCATTCCCGGTTCGCATCAACGGTCAAAAGGCGGGCGGGATTTTGGGCAGGGCTGGACTGGCAAGCCTGGGCAGGGACCCCAGGGCCAGGAGAAGGGAGGCTGCGAGGCTGGCAGAGGCCGCAGAGGCCTGGACACCCCTGCCCATCAACTCCCTGCCCATGGAGCCTTATTCTGAGAAAGCATGCCCACAGAGGGCATCACGGGGGGCACCTAAGAGGCTGGGCGAAAGGAAGCAACGGGTGGGTCAGAAACACAAACTGACTAATTGAGAAGCTTCACTCGGCGTAGCAATCCTTGCCTGGACCCGTTGCTTCCTTTTCCCATTCCTCTCCTCAGCCTTTTGCATCTCAGGCACTCCTGTGCCAAGGGAAGTGCCCCACTCGGATTAATGTCTTGAAAACGATGCCCGCTTGCGCTGTGTCTCAGGGAAGAAAAGGCCAAACGCCAGGGCAAAGCAAACGCCTGTTTTGTAACGGATGCTTCTCTGCAGCGACCTCTTCTCTCTGTCTGGACCCCGCCAGAGCCCTTTCCCGGCTCTCCTTCTCTGCCAGCTTCCACGGCCTTGGCGGTTCACGAAAAGGGGCACCGGCCTGATGGTGCGCCAGAGGAGAGAGGGCCAGCGAGCTGCAGCGTCCGGCCCGGCCCCTTGCAACGCTGCAGCTGGGCCGGCACTAAGCGGGGTTTGGGTTTGGGCTCCGGCAGAGCGCATCTGGTTTGAGTTGCAGGGCAGGGATAAATCAACAGCAGAGGAGGACGGAGGAGGCGCCAGCTGCCAGCCCCGGCCGAGGAGAGGCGGGAGGCGCGGCCGGCCCTCGGGTCCTCCAAGACGAGGCCGGGCCTCGCGTTGAAACTCGCCGTGGTTTTTTTGGGGAGGGGGAGGGGGCGGGCAGGCAGGCAGACAGAGCAAGGCGCGGCCTCGGCCCTCCCCGGCTGACGGCCTGGCGGGCGGGCGGCAGCCCCGATCGACCGCATCCCGCGGATTGGGTGCCAGCACCCCACCAGCCCTGCTCAGGCTGAGAAGCGCCCTTGGACGGGAGCCCTGCTGGGAAAGCCGGCCCCGGCCCGGTTGGGGGACCGAAGGAAAGCCCCCGGGCCGCGGGAGAGGGTCCGCAGCCACCCGCCCCGGTTGCGATGCACATAAAAAACCAGCAGAGCTCTGGCTGCCCCGTCGCAGCCACCATCTTGACTTTTTTGACCATACCCTGCAGACCACCCTGCTCCAGGCCTCCCCAGTCCTGCCCAGCTCTCCATGCTGGCAAATTGATGCACGTTGGATGTGTTTTGTGTGCTTCCACCTCTATATTTGTCTGGCTGCATCTGTGTTTAAAATATACTGACATCTGCAAATACCAGTAAATAGTGTATAACTAGAGAGGGAAGGAGGGAGAGAAAAGCGGGGCTCGTGGCTGGGGGCTGATGTTCTTCCTGGTGCGGGGCGCCCTCTGCTGGCGACGAGGAGCGTTGCTCTCCGCTGTATCGAGCAGCGTCGGTCGCGGCACCCGGGCTTAGGAGCATTTTCAGGTTGCGGACCCAGAGCATGGCGAAACTATAAAAACTGAACCACCCAATCTGGGAAAGTTTCAGTGCTTTCAAAAGGTATTATAGAAATTGCACTTTTTTTTTAAATTGTTCCTCCAGTTAATAAAAAAAATCCAGAAGTGGTTGAAATACATGGGATTTCTAACACGTTTACAAGTAAAGGGTCATCCCCTAGAACATTTAACCACCCAATCTGGGAAAGTTTCAGTGCTTTCAAAAGGTATTATAGAAATTGCACTTTGTTTTTAAATTGTTCCTCCAGTTAATAAAAAAAATCCAGAGGTGGTTGAAATACATGGGATTTCTAACACGTTTACAAGTAAAGGGTCATCCCCTAGAACATTTGCAAGAAGGCAATTGCAAAATAAATGACTTGTCTGGAAGCGCCCCTGAACATTTCACAATCCAAGTCGAAAACCTTCTGGTATGATTGTATAACAGGAAAAAGCCTTTGCATTGCGAGCTTCTGATGCCCGTCAGCACAGACGCATTTCGGTTTCACGGGATTGTAATCAGAACCCACAACGCATCTGTAGTCAGAAGCTCTTTTCTTCCTCAAATCTAACCCAGTATTTAAAACGCCGATTGAAATGAAGGGCTGGAGAAAGCCCAGTTGCAGGAAGTGATCGATTAAGGCCGAGGCCTGGATGACCAGGAACGGGCTTGCGGGCAGAAAGCAGCAGAAAGAGGAGAGAGACGCCTGGTCCGCTGGGCCCCGGGAGGATGTTTTCCACCCCTGCAAGACCTTCCTTGCTAGACCGTCCCTGATTCATCCCCATCAGTTGGCTGCCCGCGCGATCACCCCCCCCAAAAGAAAACTCTCCAAGCGCTCAAAAACAAGAACTGCCAGCAAGCCGATTCACGGGCGCTGTGATTCCTCCCTTTGGTAGAAGGTCCCCTGCCCCACACTGCCTTCTTCCTTCCGAGGGAGGGGGGATGTGCTCCTTCCACGGCTGCAGTTTTCTCTCTCCGTAGAAACAGCCGAGCTCCTGCCTCTCCGGCAGCATCAGGACCCTGCCTTCGACACAGCAGCGGAAACTTCGGCGGGTCGGGTCTGCAAAGCGCATTTCCGTTCTAGCTTTGCATCAGGCGCAGGCCTGGTCCCTGTGAGTCATCTCATTTCGGGCACCAAGGGCCCGAAGAGATCCTTTCCTCTCGGGCTGGGGTGGCGAGATCGCTGGCAGAAAATCAGCTTGAGAAAGGAACACAGCGTACCTGAGTTTTCATGCCTCTTTCAGAAAACTGCCCGTCTCTCATCTCTAAAGGTTTGGCCATTGCTTTGAACTCGTGTGCCCGCTGACCTCAGTCCTCTCTTTCCCACACAGGGGGGGGACATCTATAGAGGTTCCTCTGAACCTGCAGGTTCAGGAGAAGTCTATTTGAACACTAATTGCTGAGATGCACTCATGGGAAGGGGGGTTGCTTTCACATCTGCTTTTGAGCTTCCAGGAGGCAGCTGAAGTACCAGGAATGAGAGGTGGATAAATGTGCTTCCCCTGATACAGTGAAGGGAAGTCCCTTCTACCCATTCCTGCACCACTTGGCCATCTCTTTTGGTCAGAAGTCCACAGAAGATTCGTCTGCAATTTCGTCCATCCTTCCCCCAATGTCCTTTTCTGAATGTTTTCTCTTAACTCACGCTCTTTTTACAAGCCGTTTTCCTTACCTTGTGCCCTTCTTTCCCTTGCCTACAATGTTCTCTAATGCCTATATTTTATGGTCGCTATCACGACGTTTAAAAAATTGCATCTCAAATTTGGGCAGCTAGCTGGTGAAAAATGAAGGTTATTGGATTCCAGATCACATATAGGTTCTACTTTACCAATGTCATGCCAGTTTGCATTAAAAGACATCCAAAGCTAATTTTGCCCCCTCCCTCCGAGTAACAAGATAACAAGCCTCTGAGCTAAGGGGCAGACCCGTTCTTCCCTTCCTTCCTCATCCCCCCAAGATAAGAAGCACCCTGGCCACACACTGGGTTGGGGGCTGCAAAACAAGTTCTACAAAGTCTCAAAAAGGAGTTTATAGCGGGCATGTTGCTAGCAGGTGGTACACATGACAAAGGTCTGGGTGGTGGGGAAGAGAAATCAAAAAGATGAAGTAGAAACAGGCAGCAAGAAGGAACCAGGAGAAAGTCAAGGGTGGGCATGGATGGTGCTGGGCAGGCTGTAGATAGGAGGACCAGACAACAAGTGGGGAGAAGAGCCTTTCTCTGCCAGGGGCTGATGGGAGTGAAGTCCACTGGGAAGGGCCTTCCATGTAGCCTGGGTTGGTGTAGACAGACAGATACCTGAGGTGGGATAAGATGGTTTCCTAGCAGATAGAGGCAAGAATGAGACAGCAATGGGTAGGGAGGAGAGGAGAGGAGAGGAGAGGAGAGGAGAGGAGAGGAGAGGAGAGAAAGTGCTGGAGAAGGCCCTCTTCTTCACCTCACTTCACCCCACCAGCTACCGTATACAGCCGAGATCAGGCATTTGCATTTCTGTCCCCAGATTCTATCTCAGTCAGAGATCCTCTGCTGCAAAGTTCCTAATTCCCCTTCTAGTTTTGATACAAAATTGGAAGAGAGAATAGAAAGTTCAGAACAGAGGTGCGAGCGAAATCCAAGCCAGCCACATGGAGCTCAGAAGAGGGAACTGGGACTTCCCAATTTCTGAAGATCCCCCAAATGGATCTGGGAGGAGTTCAGAATATGTTGTTTCTGCAGTGGCCACTTAGGTGCCAGCAATGCTACAACCACGGTTGCATTTCAAAATGTTTAATTATCTTAAATGTGCATTACTCAAAACTTCCCCCCAGTCAAGTCAACATCAAACATAATCCCGTCTCAAAAAAAAAAAAAACATCCTGGAAATCTTACTTCTCGTGAAATACAAAAAAAGGAAATGTTTAGGTCTCTTCTAATATTGAGATTTGACACTTCTGTTATTACTTTAAAAGTGTTTCTAGGCATGATGGTTTCAAAAAAGGAAGTGAAACGACACATGAGAGGCTTGCTGAGATCTTCCCGTGGCAGAGGAGTAGCTGAGTAAGATTTTCAGGGCCTGGGGAACAGAGAGGACCTGGGGGTCTTTTGCGGCTGTTCTCCAAAGGGACAGATGGGACCCAAGACTGCAAACAGGAGGAAACGTGTTCCTGGCCCAAGAGGTAGGTTTTCATTGGTTCACATAAGCAGAGAGCCTTAAGCTTCTGAGAGGAAACAGAGTAAAATCTAACCAACAAATCATTTACACCTTTCTGAATGTCCCCTTCCTGGATACATAATTTGATCTGCAGAGCTTCAGAAAAACATTGTGCTAAGTTTTGTTTTTAACAAGCCACAATGGTCCATTTCACAAAGAAACTACAGTTTCCAAAATTAAACGTTGGGTTCTTATAGCAGGCAAAGCCAAAGCCAAACACATTACTTTAGGGGTCAGAGCAATATGTCAACCCCAGATGGGAAGACATGGATGTACTGCAAATATAGTCCTGGATATAGAAGGTCCTAATGATAATTGTGGTCCTGGAGAAGATCAGGAGGCTCTAGAAAGTGAGCCAGAGATGTCTGAAGCACCAAGAAAGCACACTATTAATGCTCTGGTAGGAAGCTGTTCAGAGTTAAGTTGTCCACCTCTGCCTCTGACCCCGTCTCCCCAAGAAGTTTTACCCGCTTCACTTTGGGCTGCCTCCTGCTCTCCTCCTCCTCCTCCTCTTTTTCGGCAGACAGCAAGGACGAGATGCACACCATCTCTGTGTGGTTGGCCTGGCCCAGTCTATAAGCTTTCTTCTGACGCCACAGCATGGTGGCCAAGACACCAGAGGACACAATGAAGATGGCGGCCACCAGGGCCAGGAGAAGGATGGCCAGCAAACACTTTCCAATCAAAGGGTTGGTGTCATTGGCAAGGGGAGACTTCCCTTGGGTGATGGCTGAGGAACCTGATGTGGTAACGCCCAAGCTTTGCCTTGAGGACTCTGTAGAAAAATCCAAGTCATCCTGCAAAGTCTGAAAGGATGTATACGCAGTTGCGTCCAGCCATTTCTGTATTTTCTGTATTTTGGTGGGAACAGAGGTAGCAGTTGCAAGGTTTACCTTTGGATTTAGGCCTGGCCTAGCTGAGTCCAAGCTGTGCTTCTGGGTGGCCGTGGAAAACTCCACATCATCCATCAAAGTCTCAGAAGATGTAGTCAATATTTCCTCCAGATGTTGTGGTGTTTTGGTGGAACCAGATGTAGCTGTTATGAGAAGGAGTTTTATTTTTGAATTTAAGCCTGGCTTCGGTGAGTCTGAGATGTGTTTCTGAGAGGCTGTAGAAAAATCTGAATCATCAACCAAAAGTTGAGAGGATGTCGTAGATATATGATCCAACAACGCCCAACTAGGTGTGACTGTTTTGAGGAGGCTTTCTTTTGCTCTGGAGACAGGTCTAGTAGTGTCAAACTCTTGCTTCAAAGTCACTGTGGAAACAGGCACCTGAGGGGATGTGGAGGCTGCATCAATCAGCCACGGCCACGTTACACTCATGCCCGGGGGTAGCTGTTTTGACCCAGTCTCATTTTTTAATTCAGGCAGCACGTTTTCTGGAGAACGTTTGGATACAACCTTGGTCATAATCTTCACAGGAGAGGAGGTGAGGTCTTCTTGGAGGCTCACCCCAGAGGGGTGTGAAGCTGACTTTGTAGCATGTTCTTCCACTGTACCCTGTTTTCCTTGATGGAGCAACTGAGAGGATCCATTCCCTCCATCGCCTGCCGCTTTCCACTCCCGATCCTTTGTGTTGGCAGGGGAAGTATTTGACTCCACGTTCTTTGTGTTGGTGCCAGTTTGGAAACCACCAGTCATGAGAAGGCCTGAGAGAACCACGGACAAGAAGAGCCAGAAGGAAGCCATTTTACCTGATGTAAGTAGGAAAAGATAGCCAAACATATAGGTTATCAGTCCATACAAATAATCACCCCCTGCTTTTCCCTTCACAAAAACTTCCCCAACGTAGCTAGGAAAGCCTGGGAGCCTGGAAGCCAAAATCCAATTTATCTGGTGAAAGTTCTTTTATCTAGGGGAGGCCTGATGAAGTATCACAGGTGAGCGGGGAAGCCATCCGGAGCCCCTGTGCTCCACCTTCCTCCATATTTCAAGATCCTCCTTTCTAGAACGACTCTCCTTGCCTTGTTTGGGTCACCCCCCAGAGAGAAGGATTGGTTATTCCAGCATTTACGTTACCGACCCCCGTGGGGAAACCTTGTGGCAGCTTTGCACATAGAAGACGCCCAGAACAACCACGCAGGGAAGCCTGAACGGTCACTGTCAGTCGGTTCAGAGTCTCAGCTTCAGCCATTTCTGGAGGAGGGGGGACTAAGGTCTGACTCTTCGAAAAGCAGTTTCCTATGAGTTTACCACAAGCTGCAGCCCAGCCTTGCATTATTTCCAGAGGCGTGGCTGTGCCCCCTTGCTCACTACCATAACGCCCTACGGCACTCAAAAAGCGAGCAAGAGGCTGCCAGTAGTTTAGCAAACCCAGACTTTCAGATCTTGACGTTGCTGCCATTTCTCAAAGCCTCCGCGTAAGGTGCATCACTTCCTTTGTTGCACAGACCGATGTACGGGACAAGCCCAGCACGAGCGAGATGAAGCTTTGTTTGCTCGCCTTCGCTCAACTAGCCCCTGCGGCAACTTGCATCCAGCCCCATCCCTGGGAATGAGGTGCTGGATCACATCTTTGGCAACCCAGCCTGCCCCCAGGAGCCTGCGACCTCCCCAGAACCTTCTCCCCACCACCACCGCCGCTGCTGCCGGCAACGTGCCTACTCCGGCCAGCCCAGCTTCCACCCTAAGGAAACGTACCCAGGCTGCAGAAAAGCAAATGACCCGGGCGGCTTCGGTCCGAGAGCCAGAGAAGCTACGCGTGGCACAGGCCGTCCTGGACACGGCCGTTGCGAACGCTGAGAAGGAGACGCCGAGATCCCCACGCGTTCGCCCGCTGCAGAGTCTGGCTTACCTGGTACGAGTGAAAACAGGAACCCTGTGCCGGGACAGCATGAGAATGCGAAATCAGAAGAGCGGTTTTGGAAGACACATGATGCAGTTTCCTTTGTGGGGGAGAGGAAGACGGGTGTGCGTATGTGTAGCAAAACAAGAACTGTGGTTATGAGGCTGTATGATTGCTTTGCACCAGATCGTGGTCAAGACTTTGGTGGGAGGCGCCTGCGTTTTTATCCGCAAGGCAGTTCTGCGCTTGCTTTCTCTACACTAGGGCGATGCAGGCCCACCTAAGGCTCAGTGGAAAATAGGCGGACGGTGCTAAGTCTCTTTACGGGCTGGGAGTTGCGCTCGTTGGGTTACCCCCGGGCCCAAGAAGGCCGAACTCCAGCTGCCTGGATAACCTCTCCCTGAGGACCCGTCACGCAACGTAGAACTGATCCGAGTAAACCTGGCCGTTTCTAGACCAGGGCTTCCGATGGCCAAGGTGCCATATTGATGTGCTACGCTGGAAGTGGTACAGGTTTGTGGTGTGAGGAGTGAAGCTGGGGCTGGCAAGGCACAAAGGCTCTCGGGGTAGGCAGAACTGTTTGGTGAACCCGACCCAGTTCGATTCCTAAGTACTGAGAGTAGCGATTTGCACATCTAACGGCTGTGCTCTTGCCCACAACAAATCTAGCCATAGGGGCGAATATGTGTAGCTCAGGGTTGAACTGTGGCGTCCCTGGGGTTCTCTGAGCTGGGTTCTTTTCTCGCAAACGTTTCATTACCCAGCTAGGTAACTGGGTTGGGGTTTGCTCTCTATTCATGTGCTGTGGCCTGCCTTGCCAGTGCTGGTATATGTAAGCAGTAAACATATGCCAGTCAAGGAACTACCAGAGGAGCAAACAAAACCCCCACCCCCACCAGCACTGGCAAGGCAGGCCACAGCACACGAATAGAGAGCAAACCCCAACCCATTCTAGCACTGAAGATGTGACCTAGCCAGGTAATGAAACGTTTGCAAGAAAAGAACCCAGCTCAGAGAACCCCAAGGGTGTCACAAATCTACCCATGTCATGCCTGGGAACTGCTGCTGCTGCTGCTGCTGCTGTATGAGCCAGTTCCTGAATTTGGGGTTAGGAGTCTGCAGAGTTGAGATTTATGGCCACGCCTGGCATGGAAGGCCAGATACGCATAATCCACCAGTTGTGGATGCACATAAAAGGCAGATCTACGGTGTGACATTTTTGCAGAACAAATTTGTTTTGCCTCTGAGCTGGACCAGTAATGCAGCCCCATCTCTGGAGGTGCCAGTTTCAAGACTGACAACTCCAGGGCGCCCCGTCTTCCTGGAAAGTATTGCACAAGCCATCTGAATCTGCTTCCGAAGAAGGGGACAAGGCAGAACTCCTGGGAGCCAAGTGAGATGATCTTCTCCTTCTAGGGGGCTTCTACCCCAGAGTTGCCCACCATGACTTAGGCAATTATCCTTCTGCTTTCCTTGCAGCGTGTTCTACTGTTGAACACTCACGCCACCTTTTCCACAGGCTCCAAGAACACACATTGGTTTTCCTAACCGTACCGTTTTAGAAATGCACTTTATTTTTCAACATCTGAGCTACGAATGTATATAGGACATAGGGTGATCCCCCCGGCCACTGAGCACTATATTCAAGGGTGGACAATGGGCTGCGATTCCACCTTCCCTGCCCAGCATCCTTAAGCATCAGTTCAGGCCAGGTTTTGAATGGCGAGCCGTGTATCCCCAGGCCCTGGCACCCCTCAGCAACACGCCCACCACCACCACCACCACCACCACCTTTCTCACCTGGTGTGTCTTGCTATTTGCCTTTGGTGCCTGAAATCTTGCTGCAAGCACAGCCCACACGCCCTCTTTGGCAACAGCCCTCGGACTTTCTGACCCTGGTTAACATTTTACCGCAAGGAGTTAGTTGTTCCAAAGTCCTCTGTGCTCAGGAAGTGATGCAAGGAAAGGGAGCTCAAACTAACAACCTGCAGCCTCTGGGTTGGTTTCCCGCAGGGCGGGCAGCCACAACATAAACTAACCTGAGCTGACTCAAACCAAGCCACAGCCAGCTCATCTGGGCTAGGAGAGAGAATTGCGAACACGGCCTTGGAGTCTCAGCTCTGCCCTGCAGAAGAGAGATGCGCCAAGGTGACCTTAGCCTGTTTTGCTGAAACTGGTGTCCCAACAGGGCTGGGGTCTCAGCACTTGGCCAACAGGCGGCAGGACAGGTCAGTGCTTCACTTCAGCATGCCGCTGCCACGAGCACACCCTGGAACTCGGTCTCCATCTGCCCACACCGAGAGGGGAACGTTCCAGTGAAAAGGAACACATTTTGTTCGCTCGAGTTATGGCCTTGGCAGACCAACCAGTCACCGCGACTTCCAACTCGGTTGGAAGGGTTTCACAGCAAGCGTGGCTGCAGCTCTCAAGCAGCGTCCCTGCCTCCTCTCCTCCCGCCCTGAGCAAAGGCCGTGCTGTGATACGGCAAGGGAGCTTTTGTTCCAGAGGCACTCTGGCTCCGTCCTCCGGTGAGCTGGGCACCTTCGCGCAAGAAAACGGAAGACAATCACGGAGAGCAGCCGGCTCACGGTGTGTGTTTTGTAATCAATTTTCTTTTAATCGTTTGAAATTGGAAGCAAGTATTCGGACACGACACAATGGGAGTTCTTGGATGAGCACACCCCCTCGGGAGCCACGGCTGGCTTTTATCAGGGAGCAAGAAGCTGCAGGTTCAGCGTTGCCCGTTCTGTTAGATAAAACATCGATTGCACAAGAAGCTTCTGAGGGACTTCCATTCGTCCTGCCCTTTGGGAAAACACAGAAACCACACCGGGGAAACTAGTACTGTTGGGGAAGAGGCAAGAAAGGAAAGGTTCACAATCTGGGATCCTGAAAGAGAAGTATCTCGTTCCTTCTGTCTCCGGCCTTCTGCTGATTGTAAACACAAAGCTCTCCGAAAGCTGGAACTGACCTGGGTATGCAATAGCTTTCCCCATCAAGCGCTTGAGACTGCGATTCCCAGAATTCCTGCGGGGCTGGCTGGGAATCTTGGGAGTTGCAGTCACAATACATCTAGAAGACGCCAAGTTAGAAGAACTTATAGTTTGGCAATGCAGTAATGGGAAAGAATGCAAAGCGCCCTTGCGTCTTCCAAACGCTCCTCAGTGCCATCAAGCACAAGGCAGCCCGACTCCTACAGACTCCCCCAAACTCAAAATTAACCACAACCAACGTGCTTCAACTTTCCCACTCACTCACATCATTATGTTATGACTATCTTATCTTGTTAGGTCTGTCGCCTCAAGCCCATTTCCTGCAAACTCTCTCTTATCTGTCCACATGACATCTTTTCCCACACGGACGCATCACAACATCCAAGTTCTAGCCTTTCTGTTTTTTTAGCGGCCACGGCAGGGACCCTACCAAAACAGCGGACGAAAAGGTGGCTCTTCTCAGCGGGCCTTTGTCTTTGATGAGGCCGTGCAGCAGCTACCCAGGGAAGGGCATGTGCGGGCATGTGGGAGATGAGCACAGCAGGCGCATCATTCTCAGAGCAAAGATCTGTCAGACAGAAGCAGAAGCAGAAGCAGGCTGCTGGCTGACCAAAGGGGAAAAAGGGCAAAACCGCAAAATGATGTCAGAAATACTCATCCACGAAGTAGCCTTTAAAGCGCCTAGATCTGTCCACAACAATCCTTGTGTTCAATGCTGCATGACAGGCTTCTTGTGCCCACGAGGGACTTTCCTGAAAGGTCTCTGCCTTTTTACGGCATCACATTCCCAGGCACTTTCTGGTGTTTTGCCTCTGGTGTGTCCAACGCATCCCCCAAGATTGCAATCTCTTCCCTTCCCAGCACCGGGGACAGCACCACGGCACGTGGTTCTCACCATGTGGGAACTGCCGAGGAATCACTCCTGAGCGAGACCAGAAGCATCAAGAGGGGAGCCCCAGGAAGATTAGAAGCCTCTGCGTGTGGCGTTGGCAAGAGGATATCCAGTTCTGCCTTTGGCACTGGAGGGAGGCAGGCAGGGAGGCAGGCGGGTGGGCTTCACCCCTCTGTCCACAGAGATCTCTTTTGGACTCTGGAAAAAAGGCAGGTAGAGAACTCTTCCACCCTGATGGGAAGGTTACCCTCGGTTGCATCAGGTACCTTGGTAAGTGGCCTGAAGCCTCCCAGATTGCATGCAAAGGGGCTGGTGAAGCCAGGAGCCAGCTCTGAGGGAAAGGGGAAAATCCCACTTCCGCTTTCCTGCAGATGACCGATTCTAGGTTGGCGGGAAGGGAGGGGTGTCTCAGACCAGCAGCCTCCGGCAAGAAGGAACGGAGAGTTCCTTCTCTGCGCCCAGCGTGGAAGCGGTAAGGGCCGCTGGAGGGGGATAGAGGCCTCTCCCCTGCCAACCCACATTTAGGCCAGAAGCATTTTTGCAGAGTGGCACGTTCTGCAGGCTTCTATTCGCAACAGAGCTGGAGCTGCTGCAGAAGAGGGCTGGGCAGCTGGGCCAACTGCTGCTTCTGACTTGGCCCAAAGCCACGGACTCATACTTGCATCCCGGGGATCGCCGGAGGCTGTCTGGCTGGCTGCTGCTCTGGCAAGCAGAGCAATCCTTGGGATCTCTCTAGCAACCAAGGACCCTTTTGGGACCAGGACTGGGATTCTGAGGGTTCTGATGCCAGCAGAGCTGCGAGCAGAGAGAGCGGGAGAGAGTGCGCGCAAATGATTTCAGAGCGCTCCCCAACAGCTTGCAAAATTTAGTGCATTTGTCCTTAATGTCCCAAATTCATATTTTTTTTATAACCTTGTAACACCTGGGTGATAAACAGAACAGACATCTGCAGGAAACATAGACCCAGAAATCAGCAATCACAACATGCCAATTTTTGACACTATTAAGATTAAACCAAAGCGCAACAGATGTTTGAATAAGGGCTCCCCAGATGTTAGAGATGAAGCTCTGGAGAAAAAGGTATTCAGTTCCCTGGATGGCGAAACTGGAATGGCAGCGGATAGGAAAGCAGACTGCCCCCCCCCCCCAATTCCACGGAGATCTGAGGGGACCAGAAATCAGAGGGCAGAAATAATTTTAAAATTGGTCTTTCAGACCCGGCAGTGGTGGGGTGACCGCACCGGTTGTTCAAAGGTAGACAGGCATACACAACTTATTTGTTCCCCAAATGGCACATAATGTCCCTTTAGATTAAAAACACAAAATACTGTAAAAATGCTAAAAAGAAAAAAAAAAAAAAAGACAATAGTTTTGGATTTTGGCAACCTGAAAGTAAAAAAACAAGGGTGTGTGTGTGTGTGTGTGTGTGTGTTTAAACAAAGTAATTTTGGTCCCCAATTGTAGGAAGTTCGACAGGAATCTCAGCATCTTACTGAACAGGTGGGACGACTGACTCTCCAGTCGATGAACCGAGGCGAGGGAAGAGGCTGCGACGGCTGTTCTGAAATGGCCACTAAGACATCAGGACGTAAGATTGCTCGCTGAAAAAGACTCCGCTGGCACTCGCACGGCTAGGAGGAGAAGGTTCGGGCCGGGACCACGCCGCGCCTTCCCTGCCAGCAGCCCTGCAGGCGGCTCGGTCAGTCCGGGTGCTGCTTCCTGCCCCCGCCGCCCCCCCGCTCGGCTCTCAGACGGCCATCTTCGCCACCTGCTGTTCTAATTTGGAAATGCGTTCGTCCTGATGAGCGATTGTGTCTTTTAGCGATCTGAGCTCTTTCAAAATTTCTTCCAATTTGGCTTCGTTTTGCTGCAACAAAGAGAAACGGAAAACAGTAAATCCTGAACGGGCAACGGGAAGAACCCAGCCGGGGCAGGCGCAAGGAGAGGTGACTGTCGGGCCCCCGGCGCTGAGGACCGGCGGCCTGTTTTTCCACTCACAGGGTTTGAGGCGTCCATCACTTTCTTTGGGGCGCTGATGAGATCGCTCTTCTTGTTAGCGGCTGGCTTGTTGTCCAATATGTTCTTCTTGACCACCTTGAGGTCCCGGTTCTTCCCTGGGATGTACCCGTGCTTCAGGGAGATGAGAATGGGGTCGGCGTTCTTCCCCTCAAACCATTCCTCGGCTTCCAGGGCGGCTTCTGGCCCGGCCGTATCGGGATACAGATCATCCTGGAAGAGGTCAGACTGGGCGGGGCGGGAGGGGGGAAGAAGAGGGAAACAGGACTCAGTCCAGTAAGTTGACTTGCCTCGGACAACTCTGCCACAGCTCACCAACCCAGAAGAACAGCGCTCACCTTCCGAGGGACGGTCATGATAATCGGTTCGCACTTCCTCTCGTGAAGTTTGAAGAACCTTGGAAAGGAAACGAGCACACGAACACACCCTTCAGCAAAATTGGGAGGCGGAGGGTGTCCCCCTCCTTCCCTTCCTCCCTCCCTCCCTCGTCATCAGAAGCCACGCGGAGGAGCTGAACCCGAGGAACCGAGTTCCTGGAATCCTAAAACTGGGCAGAGTCTTCATCTCAAAAATACGTCTCAAGGCCTTCAATGCACATGACCGCACACCAGGGTTTTAGTGATGACGACGAGACTTTAAGAACGGACCAAGACGAAGACCGTCTTGGTCCATTCTGTTGGACCTCAAAGAGCGTGCCTTCCCTCTCGCTTGCGAGGAGCGCAGCAGCCTCCTGATCCGGCCGCTTACAAAACCGGCAGAGGTCTCCCAGGAGGGACTTCATGACAAACAAGGTCTCCTCGTGACACAAAGGCAAACAGGCAACCCACACTAGGGAGAGGCGTCCAAGAGTGCCAAAGAATTTCCGAAACCAAGGAGGGTAGCCATCGATCTTTCATGAGCGCCCGTCAGGGAAGGGGTCCTAAGAGGAGGCAAGCCAGTATCTTCTGACCCAGTCAGATTATTTTTCTGTCTGATTCGTCTCGGGACGTGTGGCTTCTTTTTAAATTTTCTCAGAAAAACAGAGCAGGAAGTAGGAAAGCTTGTACAGCACAGCCTTTCCCAAACTGTGGGTGTGTTGGAGTACAGTCCTCCTGACACCCAGCCAGCAGGAGCGCTGCCGTCCAACACGCCGAGAGGGCCGGGAAGCTCAACAGACCCTACGGAGATGCCAGCTCCACTTCCAAGGGCAACGATGACCCGAGGCTGAGCTAGGGGCCCAGGACTGCATGACTGGGGGAGGGTCTTTGGGGGAGGGGAGGGGAGGGGAGCAGCCCTTGGGACCCGTCCTCACCTGGCGATCTCACACTTGTTCACATCCAGGCCCCTTTTCGGCATGAAGCCCACCCCTCTCTGGGGCTCTTTGCTGCTGAAGGTGTTGAGGTAGTGCACGTAGGGGGGCTCGTCCGTGATCTCGAAGTAACGGATGCTGCTGTCGCCCTGCAGGGGGACCAAGAGAGGGGGCTACCGGACAGGGCTCCAAGGACAGGGGAGCGGGGCTGGTTTTATTTACTCATTTATTGTTAAACTTGTATGCTGCCCGGCTCCCAACCATTCTGGGGGGCTGACAACGATCAAAATAAAAATTCAAAAAAACTGCCCAGAGTCGGTCAACAAGATGGGTGGTGACAAATTCAATAAATAAAATAAGGAATTACAATAAAGCCAATTAAAGGGAAAGGGAATAAAAGATAAAAGATGGCAAGAATGAGAGACCAGATGGAATGAAGAGAGGGGTCTCATTCTTCCTCCCCAAAGAAGGCCTTGATAGCTCTTCTCAACAATAGTGGGGGGGGGGCATCCAGATCTTGGGGGGGACCTTATTGCAGAAGGCAGGGGCTGAGCAGGCCTGGGTGCAAAGAGCACACTGCTAAGAGGCCACTGAGCACAGCCCCAGGAGGCTTTCAGCTACAGATCTCAGCTGTTCAACGGGGGGACACAGAAGTTTCCAAGTTTAATGCAGCCGGGGAACCCGTGCCAGTAATATGACAAAAGGGCCAGAAACACTGCACAAAATTCCCACTCTGCTTTCCTTACATATTTTGCCCCATACAGAAATGAGAATCTCGTTTTTTTCTCTTTTTTTCTTAAAAAAGGGCATGAAAACCAAAAAGAACCCTCCAAAGATAAGGGGTGGATTCCCCAGGTCCTATTTCTACAGGCCTATCCTGGGAATTCCAGAGTAGAAGACACAGGAAATATCTGGCCCCACAGCCAACTACAAAGTCGACCCAGTGTTTCTCAACCTTGGGAACTTTAATTCCGGGAATTCTGGGAGCTGAAGTCTACACGCCTTAAAGTTCCCAAGGTTGAGAAACACTGGGTCGACCTTTCTCTTTGATAAAAAACCAACACTTTACCGGGAGACAGAGGAATAAGTTGGGGGTTTACAACTCCCACATCTAGGGGGAAAGTGTTATTTTTTTGCTGCTACCCACCTTCCCACACAGGTAAAGGATATTTGTGTCGGGGTCGTAGAAGGGTAGCAGGACACCATTGCTGGTGTCCATTTCATGGAGGGCCACGGGCTCTTCCATATTTTTCTGCAACACAAAAGACACATTTTTATTTTAGGAAGAGGCATACTGCAATTCAGCATCAAAAAAAGATGGTGTCTCTGCCAGGGGAAAGGAAACCTCTCACCACCGGCAAGTAAAACAGCTTTTAAAATTATGGAGCTAAACTGAACGCTTCCCCAAAGTTCCTGCCCACGTTGGACATGCTAAAACCTTAAAACGCAAAGCAGAATCTGCAGCGTGCTTTGTTTGAGCTTTGAAGCTCAAAGAATTCATTAAGAAGAAGATACTTTTACTACTAAGTAGTCTACGCTAATTAAATAGGGCCATAAAATTTCAACCTGCAGAAATGCCTTTTGCTGCTGATGAAAAAGGATCACACTAGGGCTGTTCTCAGTCTCTAGCTTGCAAACAGTTATTTTGCTTCTGTGGCCAAGCAAGCTTTGCAGGTTTCCGCAAGAACAATATAAAAGCCTACAAAACCGATTTAAGAATACAGGCTGAGAAGATAGATCAAAAGCAGCGGGCCCTCTTCCAAACTGCCCTCAATTCTCTGAAAAGAGTTCTGCCTCCGTTTACGGCAGGCACTGTTCAAGCTGCACAGAGTCGTTACGGAGGACAAAATTAAATAAAGCTAAGGAAGATTTTATATGACGGCACTGAAAGAGGGGACTGACGACGGTTTCTTGTAGTTGTGGCCATCGCAGCGTCCCCACGGTCCTGTGATTGCAGTTTGGGCACTTGGCAGCTGGCTTGCAATTATGACGGTCGCAGCACCCTGCGGTCAGGCGATCGCCCTTTGCGACCTTCACTGCCGGCTTCCAACAAGCGAAGTCGACGAGGAGGCCGGCAGGAGGTCGCGAAGGGTGATTATGTGACCACGGGACACCGGGACCAGGCGGCATTCCCCTAACAAGGGCAACCGGAACAGCTGCAACTGCCACTGTATGTTGACGTAGTCACGTTACGTCGCGCTTTACGACTGCATCGCTTAGCGATGGAGTTGCCGGTCCCAATTACCATTGTTAAGTGAGGACTACCTGCATCTTACAAAAGGACCACTTGGGGCATCACAAACCTCTAGGGCGAAAGACCACCGGCGTCTGCTCCCCCACACCAGCCCAGCTCTCCAGAGACACTTACGGGGTTCCAGAGGGCCAGCTGCCTTTCGCTCATGCGGCTGAACCCGGTGGTGAAAACGTTCCCGTCCGAGAGGAAGATGGCTCGCATTGGCCGTGCTCCTTCATGCGCCTTCTCCTTCTCCTGCGGGAGGGGAGAGGGGAAGGGTTGGAAGGAGGATCGCGCTCCAACAGCTGCAAATAGTCCCAGCGGGCTTTGGCTCTGCTCCCAGGCAAGGCGAGCGCCAGACTCCGGGGCCTTCTACCTCCAGCCTATTTCAAGGGCACCAGACTGATTCTCAGAGTGGTGCAAAAGGAGGCCTCGGTCTTTAAACACCTGCTCAGGGATCTGCGGATTTTGAACCCAGCAGCAAAGGGTGAGTGACCCTCCATAAGCCAAGCTCCCCCATACTGGCTGGGGACCATGGGAGTTGCAGCCCTCACCTCTGGAGGGCCCCCAGGTGGAGAAGGCTGGCATAACAGGTAAAACGGGTGTCTAATCTAGGTTCCCAATGCTGCATGCAAAACTGATGATTTTTGGAGGGGGGAAATAAAAGAGGGGAATACTATACATGATTGCTTGGAATGGCAACTACACGACGCCACTTTCTGAGGTGCAATGAATGCATTTTTAGGCCAAATGAAGGGCCGGATCTCATTCGGCAGAAAACTCTGCCTGCAAGGTTGCCCCCTTCCTGACAGACCCACCGCGATGATCTCTTGCTTCCGGGGATCAATCACACGGACTTTCTTCTCTTTGGAAGCCGTACAGATGAGGCTGCCGTTGCGGTTCCAGCTCACGTTGTAGATCATGTCTTGGTGCATGTCGTCCAGGTTAATGAGGGGCTCCCCGGTCCCCACGTTCCAGATGATGATGGCATTGTCACAGCCTGGAGGAGGAGGAGGAGGAGGAGGGCGACTGAGCCAGGGCACCACCACCTGCCAGAGCCAGAGGCTCCCCCAAGCCTTTTGCCTTTCTCTTCAGGTCCTTCTCCTTTCAGCCCAGCCTCAGGGGCGCTCTGGCAGGGCCAAAGCACGGGGAACCCTCTTTTCAGGGGCCAATTCTGCCCTGGCCAGCCTTCTCTCGGGGGCAGCTCAGGGCTTCCTTCCTTCCTACTTTATGCTTCGGTTGTATCTGCTATCCTGCATTGCTCAATCTCACTGCTTCGGCTTCTGTCTGCTGGCTCACTGTGAGATACCATGTATGGGCAGAAATCCTGACTCCCTCATGGCTTGGTGAAACCATAATTGGCTGGATTCGCACAAGCCCATAACCATGGTTCACCAACAGCTATGGCTGAGTTCACACAACCGCTAAGCTCAAACTAAGCCCACATTATGGCTGACTTGTAGTGGTTTTATAATAGATTTGTATTCCCTTTGGGGGCTGCGGTAACTGAAAATGAACCCTGACTGTGGAAATTCCTTCCACAATTTCCCTGAGGCATTTTTGAGAGCCCTGGTCTCCTCTTCCAACTCTCCTCCAAGCAAATCACAGAGGTCGTCTCCAGGTCCTCAGCCTACCTGCACTTAGCAGCACGTTGCGGGCGGTGGGGTGCCAGGCTACAATGCCCACTCTTTTGGAATGGCCCTCTAAGATGACCACAGGCTCTGTCAGGGACAGTGTGAGACCGTTCTCTGGGATCTGCCAGACCTGCCAAGAGTGTGAGGAAAAGGCCAACATGGTTACTGGAGTGCTGTCAGTTTCCAAACAGCGGACGTTCTGTCATGCTGCTGGGTAAGCGGCGTTTTGCCTCGGTGGCACCAGGGGAACAGCAGTTCCAGAGGGAGCTTTTTTTAGCAGAACTTTATTTCTCTTCATGGGCTGCTGCCTCCCAATTGCTGTGCCAAGAGCTCATGCGTGCAATAAATGGCTCTCTATTCGGCCTACATCCGTTTCTTTGGCTGTCGGGGCACAAAGAGAGGGCTACGTTCACTGAGCAGCCAGCGCGGGGAGCAGCTCTCCTTCTGCCCTTTCAGCGTAGTCCCCATTGCAACGGGATCATTCCTCATCCCTAAACAAGGGCCTGAACCACTGGAAGCCGTACATCAAAACCTGGATTCTGTCACTCGCTCACACGGTGGCGGTGCCAAGCCCCTGGCCAGCCACTTGGAAGGTGGCAGGTTGCTCAAGTTGCCTAGAAGTGTCCTGCGCTGAGGGTCCCCCCCGCTCAAAGGCAAGGACGGTTCAGGAGCAGGCCGGACAAAAGGCTCCTTGCTTTCATCCGCTGGAGTGACAGCAGAGCCCTGGGAGGACCTTCACAGCCACACCAAGGAGAACCTTCAGCACGGAGGTTGGATTGGCCAACCAACAGGTATCAATCCCCAAGCCGCTTGGGGGGGCGTCTGCGCCCACTGACAGTCTCCACAAACAGCTCCACCTCAGCAGTCACGTCAGCATGTGAAGAACTGGTATTGTTCCCCCTCCCACCAGCCTGGGGCTCCACTGATTTTTCCAGAACAAAAGAGGTCCAGAGGTCGCCTCGAGGACAACCAGGCCCGGCTGACTCCAGGGAGAACAGACGCTTCAACGGCTGTTCAGTCCCAGGGCTGGGTTTAGGGTCTTGGCGGGGCAGGCCTGACTATCCAGAAGATGTGTCCTCTGACTCTGCCAGATGAGTCATCCTTGGCCAATCCGTGTGCCTAAACCAGAGCTGACCTACATAGAATCAGAAGGGGGGAGCGAAGGAAGCTCTCCGCCAGCAGATGGAAGCACGGCCACGGTCTGGCTCGCTCAGCCTCCGAGAAGAGGGAAGGACGGGCTCCAGAAAAATTCACTGGTCAACAGCACGCAGACCCCGTTCTCTGAGATTTGGACCTTAGAAGCCACTTACCTCGACTTCGCTCACCAACAAGCTTAGGACCGTGTTCAAATCCCAGCAAGTCAGTCAGGAATAGGGCAATGGCCATTCTAGAACTTTCCAGGACTTTAAAGGGTGAGCACCGCAAGGGACAGGTTTTTAAAGAAACATGTGTGTCCTCAGGTTCCTTCTCGTAAACTAACCACGATTGCTTCTGCTGCCAGCACGCCACGAGGGCTACTTGTGTGGAAATGGGGCCAAGGGGCTTGCCAGCTTCGAGTGGCATACCCTAGCCATTTAAAGGGGAAAGTCTGTTTTGGTATTTTCAAACGGCAACTTTTTGGAGAATTTCAATGTAAAGGAATAGTCAGGAGGGAAATCGAGAGAGCAGAGGCTTCAGGAGCGTAGCATGTCGGTTACCAGGCGGGGAGGCTCACGGGGACCGACCGCTGTTGCTATATCCGGAGGGAGCCGAAAGAAATCCGGGGCACCCGACTGAATTCCAGAGCCCAAAGCATGGGAGCAACTTGGGGCTGGCCCAGGTGCTGCTCAGCCAACTGGGGCTCGACATGATGCGCAAAAAGAACAGACGGCGCCTCTCCCACGCACCCGTTTTGCGCACGGGTGCACGGCAACCCGTAGCAAGCCCCAGCAATGCCTTAACCGCTCTGGGGATACTCGCTTGTAAGCACGTTTGACTTCTCCGTGTGCAAGCCGTTATTCAATTTCAGGTGCAAAGCTGCAGGCTTCCTCTTCTCAGCCCGCTATTCCAGGGCTGCCCTTTCAGGGCTCCAAGGAGGATTAACGGCAAGCCCTGAGGAGGCTCGCCTCTGGCCTTCCAGGAGGCAGGGAGCAACAAGGGAGGGCCACTGACTGCGCTCCGCCGACAGCAGCTCTGGGTAAGCACAGGCCGCCACGCCTCTCACGCTATGCCCGCTGCTCTGGAGGAGAAATGGCTCCCCACCCGCCAATCTAGCCAGTCTTATCAGCACCAGACTGATGGCACAAAGACAAGGTAACCTGAAGGTGACTGGGAGGGGGCATGGAAAATCCTCAGGTGCCAGCCCGAGAATGGGGGGCATGTGGCCCAGAGCCTCCCTTATCTTTCTTGCGGGGAGGGGGCTGGTCTGCAGACCTCTCCCCGGTCTTCCCCAGGAAACCTTTATCTCTCCCAGAATTCTCTGGCCATGGGCCATGCCTCCAGCAGGAAAGAAAAGTCTGTCAGCTTCCCTCTTTGGTGCCAAAAAAAGCCACGCTGCAGACCCAGTGGCTGTGGTGCTTCTCTCTCCCACGCACCCACGCACTGTACAACCACACGGATTGTCCAGCAGTGGGATAAACTTTTCACGTGCGCGTCTTTCAGAGATATGCTCCAGGGTGTCCTGCTCTTTGTGGGTGGGTGAGGGAGAGATGGTAAGCACTCAGAGGTGAGCCAACTATCTCCAGGTGCCCCCAAGTGAAGGTAGCAAAGCCACTGAGAGAACGCTTTGGGATGATCAGGAATTGGGCAGTCACAAAAAAGAAGAGAAGAGAAGAGAAGAGAAGAGAAGAGAAGAGAAGAGAAGAGAAGAGAGGTTCGTCCCACAGGCAAACCCATGAGAAGTTTCTTATCAGCCGCAGTGCTGAAGCTGCGATGGAAGGAGGATTTCACGAGCGCATGGAAATGTGAAATGGCACCAGTTTTCTCGGTAAGCCATCCCAGATGACCTTTGGCCGAGACACGTTGCATAATCCATGTAAACTCCCCTAGATGGAAGTCCCAACAGAAACCTGGATGCGCGCTTAACCTGTGCATTTCAGAGTCTAGTTCTGCTGGGAGAAGCAAACACACTTTACAACTGGTGGGAAAGCGAAAGTCCGAGCTCTAGCCAAAGAAATGGGACATGCGCCACTTTCCAAGTCACTCTGAAACACGGAGCCCACACTCGAGAGATGCCAAAAGGAAACCACCGCACTCAAAGAGGGTTTCCTACTGCAAATCAGGGAAACGGGAGCCCAAGAATCTTACGGGGCGTCACAAAAGCCCGACCGATCCAAAGGTCCGCCTCCGCTTTTCCCCGAGGCAGTCCTCTCCTTCCAGTGGGTGCTGATCGCTCTTCTTCTTGGAAGGATGAAATCAAGAGGGCAGAAGCAAATCAGGGAGGGCGCGGCTGGCCTGCCAAGCCCTTTGGGACAGACAGGGTGGAGGAGAGAAATTCATGAGGATAGAACTAGGAGGGGCCGCCCTCACCCAAGACCAATATTTCCTATGGATACTTAAGCCAACGGGCCTCGTGAATGTTCTCAGAGAAGCGACATCTGGCAGAAAAGCCACGGAAACAAGGAGACAAAGGAACCGCAGGGGAAGGCTCATTCCAGTGGCTGGAGTCTCCAGGCCCAACCTCGGGGTCCAGAGGTACTCAAGGTCTCCTCCCCGGCCGGCTCCCCCCAGGTTTCTTGCACCACACGTCCCATCAGACTTGACCAGCGCAGCCTGTGGTCCAGACGAGGGGAGCTGCAGTTTAAAGCCTACGAAGGGCCGCTTTCGAGAAAAAGGCTGGCTGCCCACGGATGCCACCGCTGGATAAGCATCCCACTCCCCAGAACGCTTCCCTGTGACTTCTTCTTGCTCTTCGTCACATTTTTTCAAAAGCACATGCTAAATGTCATTGCAAAGCCCCCAGTGAGTTTACAACTTCCCATCGATCTTTGGTGGGAGGATGGTTCTGTTTTCTATTTCACGCAACACTTAGCCACCATTAAGACACTCATATGCTGAGATAAACCGTGAGCCATCCATCAAAGATTTATCATCATTTCTGGCATAATGGGTTTCTCCGTGTCTGCTTAGCAACCAACAGCCAACAGCCTCATTGACATATTTGTACATTCAAATCCTCCTTTTTTTTTTTTTTTAAACATATTCAAAATATCCAAGCAAATCTGCAATTCATCTTCTCTGAAACTCAGAATCTGACTGACTCGGGCTGAAATTAATTTCTTTCATTTGAAAAGAGCCCTTTGGCTTCCTCCACAAACCCTTTATATAATCTAAAGTTCTTCAGCCAAAGAAGATGAAACCTGCAGTACATTATGGTCGTTTCAAGGGCTCTGAAGAATCCCGATTTAAGCAGTTCCTTATTTGCTGGCATGAGGACATCATTCTTCCAAGTGGGCATCCACAGCGCAGCCCATGACCGTTTTGCCCAAGCTCTGCACCAAGGCAGAGGAACAGCTCGGAATGCAGGGTCTGGAGCAAAGGCTATGCGGTTCTTCCCCTCTGCTCCCTCAATTACGGTCTCCAAGGCAACTTTTCAGTAAAAAAGAAGCAGCAGGGAAAAGGCTCAAAAATGCATGTTCGGGGGGAAAGGGAAAGCACATGTGCTAAATACCAGCCTCACTGCTCTCTCCCCCCCCGCCACTTTGCAAAAAATCAGGCAGAACATGGAAACTGGTCGTTTTGGGGTCTCTTCAACCCATCACAACACCTTCATGGGTGCCTCTTATATGGCTAAGCCCCGACTTTCAGCCTGCGAAATATCACTTTGGGAAGAGAAGGGAGCAGAACTGAGATGCTACGGATCGACCAATCAGACCTCTCCCTGGCTAAATTCTGCTGCCTCAGGAAGAACTGGTTCTCCTAGGCAGATCCTGAAAAGGTTGTCCCTGGGGCCCCACTAGGGTAGATGCACCAAGGGATATTCATTGGCGGACAGCCTCCAACGCAGTGTTTCTCAACCTTAGCAACTTTAAGACGTGTGGACTTCAACTCCCAGAATTCCCCACCCCACCATGCCGGGGGGGGGGAGCTTGGGTGTGTAAGTCCCCCCCTCTCTAAATTTTTCAGGGTGGGAGAAAATAG